ACGACCAGGAGGACTTTTGCAGGCGTTGCCTATCTCTGAGTGGAAGTGGGAGGAGGTAACAATGGATTTTGCTATGGGTTTTCCTCGATCAAGGCAAGGGCACGATGCCATTTGGGTGATTGTGGATCAATTGACGAAGTCCGCTCATTTTCTTCTGATCAGGCAGACCGATCCAGTGGATCGATTGGCACAAGTATATGTGAAAGAGATTGTCAGATTATACGGTGTGCCTAAAGTGATTGTATCTGATCGAGATGGACGGTTTACTTCCAGACTTTGGAAGGGTATTCAGCAAGGTTTGGGTACGAAGTTACATTTCAATACAGCTTTTCATCCGCAGACTGACGGACAGTCTGAAAGGACTATTCAGGTACTGGAAGATCTGTTGAGGCTTTGTGTTTTAGATTTTGGAGGAAGCTGGGAAGATCACATTCCTCTGATAGAGTTTGCTTACAATAACAGTTTTCAGTCCAGTATTGGTATGGCACCTTATGAAGCTCTGTATGGCCGGAAGTGTCGAACTCCTTTGACTCTAACTGAGGTTGGAGTTAGACAGGAGATGAGTACTACTTTTGTAGATGAAACTGTTAAGAAAGTCAATTTGATTAAAGAAAGGTTGAAAGCTACACAAGATCTTTATGAAGCTCTGTATGGCCGGAAGTGTCGAACTCCTTTGACTCTAACTGAGGTTGGAGTTAGACAGGAGATGAGTACTACTTTTGTAGATGAAACTGTTAAGAAAGTCAATTTGATTAAAGAAAGGTTGAAAGCTACACAAGATCGACATCAGAAATATTACAATCAGAAGCACAGGTTCGTTAAATTTCAAGTTGCTGATTTTGTGTATGTCAAAGACAATCCGATGAAGGGTGTGAGCAGATTTGGCAGAGTGAGTAAGCTTAGTCTAAGGTATATTGGACCGTTTGAAATCCTTGAAAGGATTGGTAAATCTGCTTATCGGCTGTTGTTATCTGATTAGATGTCCGATGTTCATAATGTGTTCCACGTATCTACTTTGAGAAAGTGGATATCTGACTCTGGAAAGAAAGTGTCTGCTGATGAGGTTGAGATTCAGGAGAATCTGAGTTATAAAGAAGAACCCGAGTTGATTCTAGCTTACGATGTTCGTAAGTTGAGGAGTAAATAGATTTCGATGGTTAAGGTGCAGTGGAAGCACCGAACTGCACGAGAAGCGACTTGGGAGAAAGAATCGGACATGAGGAAGTCGTACCCGTATTTGTTTTGACTGTGTTCTGATTGGACAATGTTGAGGACGATATTTTTTTGAAGTTGGGGAGATTGTAACATCAGATCTGCTCCAGGATCGTCCGGGTCGATCGAGATCGTCTCGGGACGATCAGTTCAAATTTTGTTCCAGATTCTGTACAGAAGTTACAGGAATGATTTCCTGTAGGGATCGTTCGGGCCGATCTGGGATCGTCCCGGGACGATCAGTTCATGGAAAAAGTAAGAGAGCAAATTGTCCAGGAAATTAATTATCGTCTTGAGAAATCGTCACAGGCCGATTGGATTTTGTTCAGATCGTCCAGGACGATCGTGCGATCGGCCGGGCCGATCAGAGTATTATTTAGCTGAAATCAGCTCATTTTAAAGAGAGAGAAAATTATAAAATATCTAAAATCATTTTGAGGAGAGAGAAAGTTGAGGAGAAACTTGGAAAAGTTGATTTTCGGGCGACGCCGGGCCATTTTCGTTCGACGAGACAGTTCAAGAAAGTGTTGTACGCAAGGTAAGGCACATTCCGCCTTTCTAAATTTTCAGAACGGTGAAGGTTGAACGAGTTTTCTGTCCGGATTTCGTTTTTGTTAGCGAATTTTGTCCGTATTTTCCGACTGGTTCAGTTTTTACCGCATAACTTTTGATATGTTTCTGAGGTGCCGAATGCGCACATTTTGATTATTTTCTGGAGATTTTTGACACGATAGTTTTGATTTGGCGGTGTTTTCTGTTGACTGTAAATTTTCACGATGTCTGAAAATGTTGTGGCAGTAGAATAAAAGTCTTATAATGTTGTTGTGAAAGTTCTGTGATAATTTGGTGAAATTCCGATTTGGTGAATTTTGTGTAAATTCCGTATACTGCCGTTATGCTGCCGGATTTTCGTAAGATTTCTGAAATTGTCCGAATTTGTTCTGAATGACATGCTATGATTGTGTGCTATAAAAAGGGAGTTATAAGGGGTCAGGATCCTGAGAGATCCTGTCTGTGTCAGGAAAAAATCTGAAATGAGCTCTGAAATCTGAAAACAAGTTCTGTTCCGGATCCGATGATAAGTTCTGTTCTGGTGCTATAAGCACATCTGTTCTGGTGCCATGAGCACAAAGGGAGGCATAAGGGGCCAGAATCCGAGAGATTCTGTCAGTGTCTGGGAAGGGAGGCATAAGGGGCCAGAATCCATTGAGATTCTGTCAGTGTCAGGGAATCTGTTCTGACTTTTATTTTGTTCTGATTTTGATACGTTCTGATTTGATATATTCTGAATTGATATGATTTCTAATTTCTGTATGATATAAATTGATCTGTATTATGATTCTGATATACGATTCTATTCTGTTCTGATACGATCTGACTCTGATCTCCGTACGATTCTATCTGTTCTGATGTGATATATGATTCAGTTCTGATTTAAGATTTAATCTATTCTATTCTGTCTGTTCTGTTCTGATTTGATTCATTCTGTTCTGATCTGTCAATTCCGTATTCTGGTTTTTGTACGGATTTCTGTCTGTTGTGGTTGATGTGGACTCTGAGGATTTTTATTGGAGATTTGTTGTCTTGCTGAGCTACTGTAGCTCATCATTGTTTTCTGCGTGGTTTTTAGGTTCTGGGAAGGGGAAAGAAGTCCAGGAGTAGAAGTTCAGAGTCTGATCTGTTATAGGTATTTTGCACTTTTGATTTTTGTACAGTCATGGCTTTTCTGTTATGCTTTTCCTTCTATCTGAAAGCCATGAGCTGTATTTGTATATGATTCTTTTGAGGACGAAAAGATAGGTGATCTGTTCCGCTGTATTTTGATGTTATAGTAGCTCTATGTGTCTGTTTTTGTGTATAATGCTTGGAAGAAAGTTCTGAAACAAATTCCAAAGCTAGATCCTTGAATCAGTTCAGTCAGTTTCAGTCTGGCCCACGACCCGATGCGAGCGGGATCCGTCCCGGTCGGGTTTGGTCGTGACAGGTATTAATTCTAAACCTACTTTGTCATGTGCGGTTTATGTGCTTGCTCCATGCAGTTTGGCTACGGCTTATGTTCCTTGTGAGGTAGCTGAGAAGTCTAGATCTTCTATTTCTCCTTTGCGGGATTTGTCTGGCTGTGGTGAACCTTCCACTATGGCTCACGTGAATCGGGACGATGCCTCCTCTTCTGTTAATTTGGTGTGGGATAAGCAGGTTCATGCTCAATCGGATTTGGTTTCTAATGACGGCTTGAAGGGTAATATTAATTTTGTTATTATCCCTATTTCGGTTTTGTCTGATGTTGAAATGAAAAAACATGTGGTTAAGTTTGTGAAAAACTCTGTTTTGGTTCAAACTGATTGGTTAATTTTAGAGGATTCTCTTTCTTCTCCTTCTATTGGGGAAGAATCTGATTATCATGAATTCGAAGACTTCTTTGATGTTCATGGTGTTATTAATGCGAGTGGTAATAAATGAAGAAGTAAAGTCAAGAAGAAATAGTGGTCATGATTTGGCTTTTGTGGTTTCATCGATAGTTTTTGGTGTTTTGATGGACAATGATGAGGAGGCCCCTGCTTTTCGTAGTTGGCTAAGCTGGCTGGCAACTACGATGCCTCGACTTTGGATTATGGATTACGATCGTATACTGTCACCAACGGATGGTTTGTGCTTGGCTACTAGGCTGGTGTTGGGGGCCTCCATTACTGAGTCCCCTCCCGTTGCTTATTTTGTTCTGTAGACTCAACAGTCCCTGCTTACCGTAGTTGGCTAAGCTGGCTGGCAACTAGGATGCCCCGACTTTGGATTATGGATTGCGATCGTATACTATCACCAACGGATGGTCTGTGCTTGGCTACTAGGCTGGTGTTGGGGGCCTCCATTCCTGAGTCCCCTCCCGTTGCTTATTTTGTTCTGTCTGACTTTTTTTTGATTGTACTTTTTTGTATCACAAACTGTTGGCCTTTGCTTGTTGTAACCTGTCTTTGTTATTCAATTTATGTTTTTTTTTTTTTTTTTTTTTTTTTTTAAAAAATTTTTTGTTTTAGAAAAAAAAAGTTTGGACAGTTCATTTTTCTAGATTTTAGATTCAAAATCAATTAGTTTGACAAATCTATGTATCAATCTGTCCAGACAAACAGAATGCACACCCCTACTATGAAGCGAGAAAAATGAAAGTTTAATTTTCACTTGATTTAATGTGAATCAACTCTTGCTAATTTATTATCTAGTTATAAACAAATTAAAAAAAAAACTAGTATAAGAAAAATATATATAATAAGAATTTTGTTAGAGATCTCAGTAAGTCAAGTTTTAACCGAAAGTATATAGAATTAAATCATGGTGATGCCTTACTTGTGACCCTTTATTTATTAGTGAGGGCTAATGAAAATGGAAAAAGATAAAATACATGATAAAATTACAAAAAATACAGCCCATTTTGTGTTGATAGTCGTGTTGCAAATAAATATGATTAGTTGTTGTTTGGTAGGCTAGAGCTTTGGACGAGTTTTGAATATAAGGTGAGTACTCTTGATGTATTCTTCTACGGAGAATCTATGATATGCTTGTGGGTACAATGGATAAGTAATCAAAATATGTTGGTGACTAGCTATGATAAGTAGGCAACTTTGTGAGTCCCTAGTTTGGTAATTGGGTACTAAGGATTGAGCAGAGCTTGTTTCTTAGGTGACTTAAAAGTTTAAACTCTCGATAGCATAAAACTTTGGATGATTTTAAGTATATTGTGTTTTGAGTTGGTTTAATGACTTGTTGAACTAGGTTTCTTATGATGATTTGTTCAACATAAATCAACTAAATATATGTATACATTTGTTCTCTATTTCTTTTGTTCTTTAGAGAACATAATAAGAACATAAGAATGAATCTAATAGCCCAAATTATTTTGGGTCATCTAAATTGTTGGTTATGGAAGACATGTGGATCTTCAACAAGTGGCAAACATGTCAGAATTCACAGGCTATAATTTTTTGGCTTGATTTATTAGTTTAAAAAATTACTTAACTATTATTCTTCTATTACTTGTAACTATTCATGATCCCTTTGTGTTCTTAATAGATTAAAATGTACAAACATTTTACTAGCTCTAATATATGTGAAGATCTTATGAGGAGACTAAAAAATTGTGCATAAAGCTATAATTACACCTAGAAAGGCATCTTCATCCGCATGTAGAGATCCCTCCATTGAAGAAGGAGAATAATGAATCATTGGCATAGCTGGAGGAGACCTAGATCAAGGCCTTCCACCAAGCAAGGTGATTATTGCGGAAGCTTATTGGCTTAATGAGGATACTATTTTAAAGCCCCATAAGGAAGTAGGGAGGATTGTTTCCATCGATAAGCCCTTCAACAGTGGTACTTGAATATGTTTTAGGCAGTGCTTCAATAAAGGCTAGCACTCCCACAGAGATAATGAGAAGCAATGAGTTCAACACCTTGGGGTCTTCTATCATGTAAGAGATGAACAAGATCTCAGAGTTTGACCATTTCATATTAAATAGTTGGTTTATGTGCTAGTTTCCAAGCTCCCAAAGTAAATAAAGATGGATCTCTAAGCATGGGGAATAACTTTAGCAGACGACAAAAACAAACTTTTTAAAGTTATCATACTAGTGAAGGATCAAGGGTGGAGTTTTAATTAGCAAGCTCTCGAGTAGATCATTGGTGAAGTTGAAATCATTTGTCATGAGAGAGTTAACAAAAGTTTTCAAAAAATGAGATTTAAGTATTTAGGTAAGACGACCACATACAATGATGAAATTAATATTGATTGTAGTGAGAGGGGTTTTAATGTGAAAGTCATGTCATATTGTGTAGAGGAGAAAAATCTAGTCAATACTAAGAGAACAAGGATTATGTGATTCTATAATAAAATCACCTAAAATAGTCACAACTAACAGTATTTAAAATGTCGATCTTTTTTCATTTGCTTGGTTTACTTCAAGAAAAGTGAAAACGCAAGAAATTCATCTCAAGATTTTCCTTAATTTTTTTTCTTCTAACTTATAGTTAAAGAGTTTTAAAATTGATAATTTATTTTGTCTTTCATTTTATATGTAATTATAAGTTAAAACTTGATCTTATTTTTCATTATTTGTATATTTGACATTATGTATGTGAAATCAAATCTCATTGTGTGATAAGTCCTTCTAAAAGAAGTTAGCTATTTAATGTTTTAAACACAATCCTTTTCATTGAAGCCATCATTTATCTGAAAGTCAACTTTGATTGAGAAGTTGAGAATCATTAGTGAAGTCAAATTCCAAATTTCGTTTGAAAAGACTGAGATTAATGCTTTTGTAACAAACATTTTATAACAGATTTTTGTGAGAACAACCTACCATAGTGTAGAATCAAATTGCCTCTGCAACTTCCTTTATCAAATCAAAATTGCAATAATTTGAGAACATTTGCAAATTTAATTCATTTATTGAATAATCAACAGTGAATATTATTACAAAAACTTTGGAGAGAAATGGATGACTAGTTCAGGCTGTTAGTCTCAGTATAGGGATTGACCTGATGAAATTCCAATAGAAAAACTCATTAGATTTCATAGTAAGGCTGCAGATGAACTGAGCCGAGTCGAGTATGTATTCGTTTATATTTGACTTTGTTTGTTAAGAGCTTGTTCAAGCTTATTTCAAGCTCGGTTCGCTCTTTTTTGTTTGTGTTCAAGCTTGGTTAATTTAAAATGATACATGTCCAGGTTTGATTTGCATTAATTCAGTTCATATTCGATTCATTTTATGTTTATCAAGCTACAAACGTGCGACTCGTTAATAAATTAATCAATGAGCCTTATCGAGCTTTTAATGAACGAGGCTTATCAAGCTATGAATGAACGAGCTTTATCGAGCTATCAACGAACAAGCCTAACTGATCTATTAACGAACAAGTCGTGCTCTCTCTAGTAAACAAATAACTTATCGAGTTCTCCCTAGCCTATAAATGAATAGATTATCGAGCTCACAAATGATACTTTTAATGAACAAACTTCATATTGAACTTTGGAAACAAATATAAACCAGCATATTAATGAACGGGTTTCTTATCGAGCATGTTCACGAGCTTCAAATGATATTGTTCATGAACATAAACGAGCCGAACACATAGTTGTTCAAGCTCGTATTAAAGCATCAAGTATTTAAGAAAATATTCAAACTTGCTTGATTATTTAATTAAACAATCACAAACAAACTTTAATCGAATCGAGCCTCGAGTAACTTGTCAAATGCTCAATCCATTTACCGCCCTAAGTCATCCTATGTTGGACGGATTTTAATAAACTTTTTATTTAATAATTAACTAAAGCTTTACAGGTGCTTTTTCCACTTCTTTCATAGCAGCAATGTTGATCAACCATACGTGGCTCCAAGCCAGGAATAAGTGAATAACCATACAAGTTTGTGGTTATCAAAAGTTCAAAAAAAAATATGATTAATTATTTCATTAGGTAAGCATTATTTTCTTTCTTCTACGGCATCATGGCTTATGCTATTGCAATCCAATTCCTTACATGTCTGTAACGCACAATGCTGCATTAAATGACAAAGATCTTTCTGTTACATTTCAAATCGTTGAGAGCACATATGCCATTGAAATTTCTTTTTATCTTTTTATGGCTTATTTTAACATAATTCAAGCCCGGCTAATTAAGCTTATAATTACTTGTAGAGGTGTAATTCTATCAAAGCCAACTTGCAAACTCGATGAACTAATTAGTCAAATTTGAGCTAATCCCAACTCAACTTGTCACCTAGTGAACTCACCTCATTTAAAAAATATTATTATTATATACACTTAATATATATAAAAATTTAATAAATTTAGCATAAATTTTCCAAAAATATTTAGAAGCTATATTTTTCTTCCTATTTCATGTGATTTCTTATTTTTTTATAATGTTATTATAATAATTACTTCAATAAGAATAATTTTTTCTCTTTTATAATAAATGAGCCACCTAATAAGGTGATTTGATCTCATAAATTTAGCTCAAGCCCAAGTCATGGCTGACTCGAGCTCAACTTGGCTCAACTCCACTCACATACACCTTTACTTACCACAAATAATTAAAATCAAGACTAAAGTAAGGAGAAAAAAATTGGCTCTGAATATTTTGATAAAATTGTTCATTAAAATATAAATTTAGAAGTTTTCAAATTTTATAATTTAATCTGAATTAATCCCATTTAAAAATAAATTCACTTAAATTTTTTTTTCAAATTTAAAGATAAACATGCGTTTAATTAGCATATAGTAATTTAAGCAATAAGCTAATTAATTACCATATAACCATTCAGCCCGTTGGCTCCTAATTAGCATCCTCCCCGGGCATTTCCATCATTATTAATGGCGATTACTTAGTCGACGGCATGAGTCACGCACACACTTTATTTGCAAGTCAATTTTGCTCCCTTACCTAATCAGTTAATTGAGATAGACCAAAAATTAGGCTTCTTTTGAGATAATTACTCTTTTACTGTTTTTTAAAATAATTTTTTAATATTTTATATAAATTTTAATTTATCTAAAATTAATTAAACTATTTAATATTCATAATATTTTTTCTCTAATTATAATATCTTATGAATGTTTAATTGAATTTATCAAATAATTAATTATATTAAAAGAAAATACACAACATATGAAAGTAATGACATGTCTTAAAAATAAGAAAATTTAGATATTAGATATGCAAATATTTAAAAATTGTATAGTGTTATATAAATCTCTCTATTTTTCTATTATGATTATATTTGTGAATGCATAATAATTTAATTATATTCTTTAATATTTTATTCTATTTATCTAATCATTTAATTAAATTTATCTAATAATTTATTATATTAAGTCATGAAAAAAATAATAGTCCAAAGCTATTAAAAAAAATCTTAATTCTTAGTCATATTAGATAAGTAGAATATTATTTTATAGTAGTAACCTTACAATCGTTTTTCCCTATGCTATAAACGGCCTCTCAGGCCAGTCAATAAAACTCCCCAGCACAGTTATTACTCACAGCTCGCAACCAAATATTGCATTCATTAGCCTCAAACCCTCCGCTCATCAGCTGTCACCGACTCTCCCATCTCTTTCTGCTCTTCAGAGATGTTCTCAAGCGGCGCCGCCGGCGACGATGCTCCACAAGAGATAATTAACGACGAAAAATTCTTCTCGCGGCTTCTCTCAAAAGAAATCTCCGCGTCCGCTAACCCATCCTTTCGTGTCTACTACGGCGTCGCTCCCGGCGCCGTTCCCTTCCTCTGGGAATCGCAGCCCGGCACGCCTAAGCACACTATGACCACAACCACCGTCCCGCCTCTCACTCCTCCCCCGTCCTTCTACTTCAACCCATCCAAGAACTCCAATAATAAGCCTTTTCCTAAACCTCCCAAGCGCAAACTCATCCACGCCATCCTTCCCAGACCGGCGCTCCGCAAGCTACGTGGCGCGCAGACTTCGCCGTCGGTTTCTTCCTCGTCGGGCCGCTCGTCGGACGAAGAGGAGAATGACGAGGCCCGGATATCGCCGACTTCAACGATGTGCTTTGGCGAGAGGCTGGCTTTGAAGAAGGTGCTGTTGTATATTGTCGGGCATGGGTCGGGCCATGGTGCTTCGGCTTAGTTCCGTCGGAGGTTTTGGGTCAGTTTCTTTTGCTTTGTTTATGTAACGGACATTTTAATTTTAGACTGGCCTGACTCTAAATTTTCCTGTGTTAAATTTGTAACTTTATATGTATTATTCTGCTATGATGCGGAGTAATATAAATTAAATAAATAAATAATAATGCAAATTTAATGCTTAAAAAAATGGAAAAATTTTAAATTTTGGTTAGGATGAAATTTAGGTGATTGAATTTATTTTGAAATCTGTATAGTATTTAAAAACTTAATTATAAGATAAGTAAATAATTAGAATTTTATTTTAGTCCTTTTTTTGGGTTAGCTGCAGGCTTCATTTAGGATGCTTTCTTACTATTTTCTAATGCATATTTCTAGTATAAAAAATTTAATTTTTTACTAAAAAATCATTTTAAGAAGTAAAAAAATCTTTCAAAATGAATCCTAAGATTTTAGCTTGTTTCTCGGCCATAATTTAAAAAATATTTTTTCAAAATAAATTTTTTGATTATTTCTTAAAGTAGCTTCTTAGTATAAAAATTTTAATTTTTTATAAAAAAATTTATTTTAAGAAGCAATGAAAAAACCATTGCAAATGAAACCTAAGAAAAAAAGCGATAAGATAGTGTTAATTTTTTAAATCGTAAATATTTAAGTGTTACATATATGTGTAATTGCTTATATTTAAGAATATACTCATTTTAATATAAATTTAGCAATGGTAAGATTCATCATAATCAAAAGATTAATCTTTTTATTATTTAAGGAGTGGTATTAATAATTAGGAAGTCAACTTAGAGTGGAATAATGTGGAAAGATGTTTGCTTCAGTTGTAATTTGTTTGTTATCATGTGCATGGCATCCTGCTTCTTCATGATTAGTAGCACATGTTTATTAGTTATTAAGATAAATAAAATGATTTAGAATCCACCAAAACCTTCATCTCCTTCCCATTGTCAATGAATTATGTGAGAGTTGGTGGGTGCTTCGTGTCAAGTTTTATGTTTCAGCTTGTTTTGGTAAATGATAATATTTTTTTTTTCTTAAGATTTAGAGTGAATTTAGTCATACATTTTAAGTAAAAAGTTACATATTTTAAGATTTTATTTGCAATAATTTTCTTATTGGTGTGTGAAGCTTCTATAGATATTGTAACTTTTTAAAGTTATTGTAGAAAATGTTTTTTTAGTAATTTTTTTTAAGCAATAAAAATAATGACCAAATAAAAATTTTGATTACAATTTGAAGCGGTTTGAAAAACAAAATAGTTAAAAAACTATCCTAGGCTTCATTTCAGACGACTTTGTTATAACTTGTTAAAGTAGTTTTTTAGTACAAAATTAAAATTTATGTACTAATAATCTGCTTTAAGAAGAAGAAAGAAAGTTGTCCAAAAAAAAAAAATAAATTTGAAACTCCAAATATTATTTGAATGGTTATTATATTACATTGAAAGTATTTTTTTGACAAAAAAGATATTAATTTATTTCAAATATTAGATTAATTGAAAGCAGTGAAATAGATGAGTAGGGAGGAGGCTTGCTAATTAAAAGTCGCATTGCAAGTGTTCTTTGTTTACATTTGTTTCTTAGCAATTGCCCTAAGCATAGTGCCATGTGGCTCAAATTTGTTTGAATGTGGCCTTGGAGTGTGAGCTAAGCAAGTTAGCCTAATTGGCTCAATGTGATAACAAATGGGATACATAACTAAATGGGGATATTATCAATTATTTAAATACCAAGATGAAGTTAAATTGCTTAGGGTACGCTTTAAGCTACTCTTATTAGCTAAATTTTTGCCTAAGCTAGTGTGCTAAAGCGGTCATTAAGGCACTAGAGCACATGGTTTTAATTAAGGCCCAATTAGGTCAACTTGGCGCCCTACTTTGAGATAGCCAAAATCAAGTGTTATTTTACTTGAGGACAATTTAAAAATTGTTTTAGTTTAGTATTGGCTATTGTCTATGGACTTTGAGTGAATTTGATTGCGAACTTATGTATGCACCTATATACTCTAGACCTCGTATCTAGAAGTTGCAGTAGAAGTGGAAGCTGAAGCTCCCACTATACTATATTGAGGTGGGTTGCATCATTGAGTCTAGAAGACCAAGCTTCTTTTGAAAAACTAAATTATAGTTGGAATTTTGTGATGCTCTGATGAGTCTTAAGGAGTAAGGGTTAACTGAGCAGGTATACCCAATTAAGTTAGAAGTTAGCCCATCTATTTTGAACCCCATCACCATAGTGTTTGAGAGAGAGAACGAGAGAGGGAGAGGGTGAGAGAGAGAGAGAGAGAGTTGTGAGTAATTATTGTCCCCGGACACCAAACACGTCCAGAGACCAATAACAGAGCGCCATGTCATCTGGGCGCGCGGTACCGAGCAGTCGGTATTGCTCGGTATTTGTCTGGATTTTCGATTTTTTGTCCGGACGTAATAATTTTCCAAGAGAGAGAGAGAGAGAGAAATTTTAACCATGGTGCCATAGCGCCAAATACTAGCGCTAGTATTTGTAAAAGACCTAAACGGCTAAACCATTAGACCAACTTTTATGAGTTCAAACCTAAGCTATTAAATATATTATCAAAAAAATTTGCTAGGCACGTCATCAAAATAATGCCAAAACAAATCAAATTTGCAAATTTTAATATTCCAATTTATATAATATTCTTATCCAAAACAGAACCAAAATAAAAAAGAACCAAACCTGCTTGATATACATATTTTTATTTTATTTTATTTCTTAGTTTAAGCGATTTTTCATGCTAACTCAATCAGGTGCAGATTTAATTTAAACAAGCTTGATATATCTTCAAAAAATTATCTTGGTTGGGCATGAATCTCGAGGCAAATCAAGTCGGAAACTTCAAAAATTAAATATGTGATCACTTGAACTCTGATTTCAGTAAGCTTACAGTCGAACTGATCGTCTCGAAAATAGGAACCCAACGACACCAAATTCAACTCAATCCAAGCCAAAATGAGTCCAAATCAAGGACCCGAAGCACCGTTGGAAAGTTCGAACTATAGTTTGAGTTACCAAACGGTTTCCAAACATGACGTATTTATAATCAAATCGAGCAGCTCGACGAGAGGAATCCAATGAGCTCAAGATCACCAAATTCCGACATCATTAAGCCCTTCAAATGTCTGGTGAATGGTCCACGATCAAGGGATTCAATATAGGTCGTCCATTCAAACCACTCCAGATTCGCCCCTGATCTCTCACCTATTTACATGTCATCCCACTCTAGAAATCTATAAATAGACCCCTCATTTCTCTTGTGCGGGGGACCAAGCAAAAAGAAGAGAGCCAAAGCAAGGAGGAGGGCCCAAGCAAGAAGAAGAAGAGAAGGATAGGAGGGAAGAAACTCCTCCTTGACCACCGCCAGAATTCTGCCCGATGTTTAAGTGACGTCAGAATTCCACCCGACCTCCAAGTCACGCCGGACTTTCGCTCGACTTCTAAGTCATGCCGGAATTTTGCCCAAACTCCAAGTGACGCCGGGATTTTTCCCAAGTGACTCAAGAATTCCGTCTAACCTCTGAGTGACGTCGGAATTCAACCCACCTCTAAGTAATGTCAGAGTTTCTCTCAAACTCCAAGTAACACCGGAGTTCTCCCCGAATACCATTCAACACCAGAGTTCTCCTCGGCTACCAAATGACGTCAAATTTCTACCCGACGTCGGACCTCCACTTTTCGCCAAATTTCTACCTGACGTTGGACTTCCACCAATTGTCGGACTTTCACCAGACATCAATACGATGTTGGATTTCTATCCATTGATGGTCTTCTAGTAGACGTCGTCTTTCTGACCTCCGTCGTCAGACAACGGTTCTTCCGACCTCCGTCGTCCGTCGACTACAATCATTCAGACTTACGTCATCCACCGACTAAAATTCTTTCGACCTTCGTCGCCCGCGAACAACAGTCCTTCAAACTTACGTCGCCCGCCGACTACAGTCCTTCCGACTTACGTCGCACACCGACAACAGTCCTTCAGACCAATCAAACAAATAAATAATAATGCTTTGTATTCTCACCATATAATTTACTCTATAAGATGTATATCAAGCTAAGGCCTTCCCCCGAGGAAGGACCTCCTTTGTAATCAACTACAATACTAGTGGATTCATTCATACTGGGCCAGACCCCATGGTTTTTCCCCCTTTTTAGGGGTTTTTTACGTAAAAATCTTGGTGTCTTATAAATGTTACAGACTCTATCTCTTATCTGATTACATGCCAGATTTTCATACGATGCTAAGACGTAAACCTTTATATTTCTCTACCGCCATGAATACTCCTGGACGCAATAGTTTAGCGTCGTATGTGTGAATGTGATTCCCGACTAGGGGAAAATAGTGCTCCAATCTTAAAAGATCACTCATAGCATTAATTTCATAAGAATCAGATGCGGACTGGGGGAAACTTTGACTCCAACCATGGTCTAATAGATCCTCCAATACTTTTACATCAAGATGATATTTTAGGAAAATCCGAGCAAATGCAAGGATACTTCCAATCAATTGTAAGCTTTATACAGTCCCTTGCTGGACTTCTACTCCTTAGGCAAGGTCTTAATCTTGACCTCAAAAAGGCAGTAATGGTCTAAAGATAGACCCTCATTTACTTTTGATTTGGGATATACGCAACGTTCGCCCTCTCCCAATCAAGGCAAAATCGATCCCAGGGGGATTCGATTTGACCTATTTTATACAAGTTAATGTCATTGAGCAACGTGCTCTGACATACAACCTTGGATAGGTCCTAAATCCTTGGTGAACTTTCTCAACCTCTTCCATACAGGTTAACAATATTGAGCAAATAGCTCTGACATACAATCTCGAATAGGTCTTACTTCCTTGGTGGATTCTCTCGATCTCTTCCATACAGGTTAACATCATCAAGCAAATATTTTGACATACAACCTTGGATAGGTCTTACATTCTTGGTGGATTCTCTCAACCTCTTCCATACAGGTTAACGTCATCGATAAAATGTTCGAACATACA